CATCTCCTGAAAGCTCGACTCACAACGGTCTGTCCATTCAAACTTCACAGACTTCCTCGTCAACTGGGACAAAGGGAGGGCAATCTTCGAAAACCCTTCAATAAATCTGCGATAATAACCTACAAGGCTGAGGGAACTACGAACCTCGGAAGGATTCTTTGGCGCTGACCAGTTTTGAACTGTGGCAATCTTAGCTGGATGAACCTCAATACCTGCTTGAGTAATAATGTGGCCAAGAAAAGCCACTCGCTGAAGCCAAAATTCGCATTTAGAGAACTTAGCATATAATTTTTCACGTCTAATGGTCTCAAGAACGGCCCTTAGATGCTCTTCATGCTCCTTCTGGCTCTTAGAATAGAGAATATCATCAATGAATACAATAACAAACTGATCAAGAAAAGGATGGAATACACGGTTCATCAAGTCCATGAATATTGTGGGGGCATTGCTGAGACCGAACGGCATAACCACGAACTCGTAGTGACCGTATCTAGTTTGGAATGCTGTCTTGGCGATGTCTGACTCCTTGATCTTCAACTGATGGTAACCTGAACGTAAATCAATCTTAGAAAATACACAGGCGCCCCTTAACTGATCGAACAAGTCGTCAATTCTGGGAAGCAGATATTTATTCTTGATCGTCAATCGTTCAAGATCCCGGTAATCAATACACATACGCATAGAACCGTCCTTCTTCTTGACGAATAGAATGGGTGCTCCCCACGGTGAAATGCTCGGTCAAATAAAATCGAGATTCAGTAACTCCTGTAACTCTTTAGGTGCCATTCTGTACGGCACCTTAGATACTGGTCCGGCTTCTGGAATAAGATCAATAGAAAACTCCACCTGTCGGCTGGGTGGTCCGCCTGGAAGCTGGTCTGGAAACACATCCACAAACTCACGAACGATAGAAAGGTCGTGAGGTGTCCGTGCTTTCGGTTCGTCTCTGACAAGGCTCACTAGGTAACCCTGGCAATCACCTCGTCGTTAGATCTTTCTAGATTTTGCCATGGAAATAATGTGAGGCAGAGTACGAGTCCTGGAACCGAAATAAGTAACCTGGTCATCCCCTGGAAGATGAAGAGTAATCTTCCGGTCGTGACAACGGATATCTGCATGAAAATGGGTTAGCCAGTCCATATCGAGAATGAGGTCAAAACCCTCATCTCGATAACATAAGCGTCGGTAGTCAAGATACGGCCGCCAACAGAAAGGCTGAGACTCTCGGCTTTGGCATCAGTCACTATGTTTCTACTCGAGGCTAAACTCACCTCGAGAGGATCGACAGCGCTGACAGAATGAAACCCAATGGCATCAAGACATCGGCGTGATATAAAGGAATGGGTCGCTCCGGTGTTAAATAAGGCAAAAACAGGAACATCATTAAGAATAATCATCCTAGACAGGGTACCTGGGTGTTGATCTACTTCGGCCTGATCGACGGTGTAAACGCGGGCTTGCTGTCTCCCGCGCTGCTGCTGCTGGGGCTGTCTTGGTGGTTGCTGTCTGGGCTGCTGGGGCTGTTGTTGAGGTTGCTGTGGCTGTGGTGGCTATTGTTGCTGTCGTGTTGGGTAGTTGGCTCGGGTATGTCCGGACTGTCGGCAATAAAAATCGATGTTCTGGCCCACAAGGCACTCATCGCGGTGATATCGTCTACAAGTGGGGCAAAGTGGTACTGGCTGCTGTTGTCTCTGGCGGTTCCTGCAGTCGTCTGGGCCTCCTCTCGACTTCCTCTTTCTTTTGTTCTTCAGTTGTTGGGCAGCTATTGGTGTGGTAAGTGGCTGGGTTGGAGTTGAAATAGCTTCCCTACGGATGCTTGCGTCCACCTCCTGGGCTATAGTAACGGAATGAGCATAGGTCTGGAATCCGTGACCTACAATGATATGACCGACTGCTGGTAAAAGCCCGTCAGTGAAACGTCTCGACCTCTTTGCCTCTGTGCTCACCAGCTCGGGAATGAAGGTTCTAAGTCGAGTGAATTCTCATTCGTACTCCTCCTGATGATCTGGGTCTTGACGAGGCGGCATCTGAACATTGAAATGTTCGACATGATAAACAATAAAATATAACATAACACATTAACTGACTAATCAGGCACACAAATTTCTTGACGAGTCGCTAAGTAAACCCCAGAAAACTAGAGTTGAATCATCGTATAACTTAAATAATCGACTATATTCTACAAAAATACTCTATGACTGACTCGAGCATCCATGCTGGTTTCTAGGGTTAAATTGTTGGGTTCGCTTGTACCGTACGAGCTATACGCAGTGGAATTTAAAATTTTTTAAAACATGTATTTAACAATTAAATACATAACTCGTACATACATATGGCGAATTAACAGATCGTCATCTTTAAAAACATGTAATAATACAAATTTTGATTTGTTTGATAGTAAATACAATATTTACCGTTAAACTTGAACTCCTTCAAAATTGTAAATTGATTGAGGAAATCGGTTTCCGGATTGGTAACTTCACTTCTCGTACTTGTGGTTACTCGCTTTAGGAATCCAAGTGTCTTCCCTCTAAACGTATCCACCTTTTGAAATCCGGTTCCGACGACAGCTTCTTCGCTAGTAGAAACTTCTCGGTTTTCCAATAGTATAGAATATATATTTATAAGGAAATTTTACAAGAACTCTTTCTTGTATTTTGAGAAATAATTCAACTATTGAATTTCTTTACAAAACTCCTTTTTTAAAGCTTCTCAAAGACTAAGTTAAAAACAAGAACTCTATCTTGTTTTAAAAGAAATAATTCAACTCTTTGAATTTATTTACAAAATCTTTTTGT